TTTTTTTTTTTTTTTTTTTTTTTTTTTTTTTTGCGCGATTTCGTGTTCTTTGTACTTCTGGGATGCTTCACCTATCGAGGACTTTTATCTGCAGATTTTTTGTAGGAATCATCCATTTAGATATGACTATCCGTCTAGACGGAGTTAGGCGTTTGTTGAATTATGTTTCGATCATTATGCTAGATTTGTTTTTTTTTTTTTCTTGGTGCAAAGTTGCATGTTTTTTTTAAGGCAAGTCTCTGTTTTATGCACTTGTGGAACACTTTGTTTATCTAGATTATTTATTCTGCAACCGGTGTGTAGTCGTCAAAGTGCTCTAAGAATGAGGGATCTAGGTGTTATAACTTAGCTGTAGGGGAATCGGGCATTTTTCTAGGGTTACGTCTTTTAAGAGCTTTATAGATCATTGAATTACTGGCGATGCAACAGTTTTTTTGGAACACTTCAGTTTCAGCAACGAGTTGAATTGCTAATAAATCGTTCCTAATTAGTGACAAAAGCTACTGTATTGTCTTTGAAGCAATCAAAGATGGTAATTCTTGAAGGTAGTAACTTTTCAACAAATTCAGATTGGCTTCAGAATGAACATCTCAGGTAAACGAAAAACCTTTTGAATGTATACGTAAAATGGACTGGAGCAAAACAACGACTAATAACTCAGAAAAGAAAAAAATTGATGAAGAGTTCTGAATAAACTGACACAGTTAAAAGCTCACTTGTAGACCGTTCTAATGGATATAAACCGGTTTTGAAATGAACATCGTATACAGATAAAAACTTCCGAAAATACGTAAAACGTAGGTTTTCGCAATATAAAAAAAGCTGGTAACTTACCATGGGAAAAACAACTGAAAAGCTCATTCCTGAAATGTTTTGGGCAGTATGGCAGACTTCTCAATGAGCATGTTGGGTAGGCTAGAAGTGTTTGAAAACCAAAGCGGGCCGTTGCCAAAAAACAAATTGATTTTAAACGACGTGTAGCTTAAAAAACGTTCGGTGATTCCTAATGTAACTGGCATAACTGAGTAGCTTCTTTGTAAAGCATTATAATGGCTACAGCTTTTCCCAAGAAAGATTTTGGTATGCATGAGGACTGTTACGCGATCATAACCACGCGAGAATTCATTTTCAAAAAAGTGGAGTTGTCTCAGCATACGCACATTTTATGTTGTCACGACCTGCAGCGACAGGCATTAAAGGAAATGCCTAGCTCAACTGAAGTTTGAGCGCTCTTGCTGTGTGCATAGTTCATTTTTTCGCTTTAAAAGTAGTTAAAATTTAGGCGACGGATTGCAATTAGATAATCACGCAGCACGATCTAGGAATTCTTGTTCAACCACAACTTCAGAATCACCTCAGCTCTGAAGCAAACAATCAAGAATTATCCTGATTACAGCTACCGGTTAAGCTGGAAAATATAGCCATTTGTGACATAACTTTAGGTCTGCAGGTGAAAGGAGAATGCATCAAGAGTTTTTTGGGAAACGGTTTTCAAAGTATTTTAAATTTTTTGACGGAAATAAATTTTTTTGCGAGATCTGCGTAAGTGAGGAAGAAAATTTTCATGGAAAATTGAAAGTAACGTTTCAAAAAAAATTTGGCTACCAGGACGGTTTGGCTAGGGTTATTCTCGGGATTCCTTACTTTAAAGCCACTGACTTTTCTTTTACCTACAATTTTATTAGGCAAAAGGAATCTATCTGTTTTCACAGAGAAAGATTTCTGAACTATTCAGAAATTGTGCGGTTTTCAGACAGAAATAGTAGCTTTTTCTTTACTTTCAACTGATTTTGAATTAACGGTTATTATATGCTTTGATTCAAATCGAAGCGAGTCAGTTTGTGATATCAGGCTAAGGCAGAGTTTCTTCATTTGTTCTTATGCACTCCTTACCAAATTTGCTGCTATTTTTAGTTTTGCAACTTGAAGCAAAGAAGTAATTTCAAAATTAATATGCTGGTCAAGTTAAGCTGTTTAACAATTTTTTTGCAGGATAAATGGAGAATGCTGTATGTGGTAAAAAATATCAGAACTCAATTTTTTTAGTTGAAGTAGTTTCTTCTTAGTATATACAAAAATTATTTGGTGACTCTTTGCTGTTTTATATCATTAAATGTGCGGAGTAAACTTATTAGTTGGGTCAGCAAATGTTTTTAGCATCTACTTCAAGTTGCGATAGTCTTTTCACTTGTTGTGTTGTAGTTTTGATAGAAGAATTTTGAATTAAAATTTTTGCATAAGAAGTTCGAGACAGTGAAGACTTTTTTTCGCTTAAGGATATTTTCTTAAATTTGAGCAAAAATCACATGTCTTTTAATCTACAAAAGATTTTATCTAGTTAATTTACCTTTTTTAAGGAATGGTCACATTTGTTTGGAAGAAAAATATATTTGTCGCTGGATATTTTATGGATTTTGAAAAGTGGGCGTTTCTGAGCGGGACTATGAAAAGTATCACAAATATTCAGGAGAATGCAGGATTATGTTTTTCTCATATAATACAGTTGCATAAAATTTTGATTAAAAGTAAATCATTTAGCAGTGAAGTCGAAGCAAATAGGAAAAAGTCAAGTTTAAATTTAAAGATGAATGGTAAATAACGAGGTAAAGTAGCTGTTTTGGAGAACGGTTGGGTAAGTGAATTCAACAAATTTCACATTATGTTTGATCACAGGCACAGTTTGCTCTTGAGACTTAATCATGATTCCTGCCTTCGGTGACAGACGATTTTTGCTAGCGTTAGTGCTATCTGTTCTGTTATTGTAATTAGAAAAAAGGATTTTAGACGTTTTACTGGATTTTGTGTTCACAGTTTTAGTTTTGAAGATGCATGTAGATCAAATTATTACTATTATTGACAAAAGACTTCAAAGGATTTTGGAGGGCAGAAGATCTAAGGTAAAGTGCTGCTTTAATCAATAAAAACGAACCATCGATGTTTTTAAGTTAGCTTCACGCTAAATTAACAGGTAGTGATCATTAGAAAACCGAACATAGCTATAGGATGAACAATTTGTATCTCAACGAAAGTTGACCATTTTCAGCAGATCATCTTCTGCAACAGTCTTCATCTTTGTCGTAAAATGAGGCAAATCTTTGACAGATCTGTAGCTGTTGAGTAAAACCGATTTATTGTTGATTTGATTAGCACTGTGCAAAACGCAAAGTATCGTCCAGAAACTCTTTTTCATTTCTATAAATTTTGAACGGAAGAAAAAGAAAAGGAGACGAGATTAACGGCATGTTTTTTTGATTAAAAGAAAAAAGAAAAACAAGAAATAGAAAGAAATAAATAATAGCCAAAATAAAGTTTAAAAAAATTATTTATCATTTAGTTTTGCAAAAAGAATGGTTCCACACATTTTATTTTGGCATTTTTTCAGTGAATTTTTGCATTACATATAAGTATCTTCAGTATAAAATGCAGAAGAAAAAAAAAAAGAAGTATTTTGTAAATGCATAAATATTTTTTTTTTTTCAAATTAGATCATTTTAAAATTTAAAATATTTTTGTATACTGCAATGGATATAGGAGATGCCACTTTCTATTTGGTTTTTTTTTTCAATACTATTATTGCAGCAGTAAGTATTATCGATGTTTTTAACAAAGGATAATTCTAGAAAAAAAACAGTTAAATTAGGAACTAAAATAGTCAAAGAGTAAACTATAAGTAGGTTAGTAACCAAAAAACAAGTGATTACAGTTATAAAAGAATACGCTGTTTTTTTACCTGGTCTATGTTTTTTTTATTTTTGTTGTTGTATAAATTTTAACTGTAAACCTACACGAAGTTTTCATTACCGTTAATGGTGTATCAGTAAAAAGAAAAAAAAAATTGTTGAACAAATATAATTTTTTGAAGGCTGTAGACTAACATCAGATGACCACCAAATTTTGAGCAAATCTTGTTAAACATAAAAATTAATTATGAGCAAACTTTGTTGACGGGTATCAGAGATAATCGTTGAAGCCAACAATCAACATATGTAGTAACGCTTCCAGAATCTCAAATGGCGTGAAAGTGTTATATTTTTGTTGAGTGTTTCGTGTAAAGCAAGCAAAATGTTTAGTATTCTGAATGCCATTATTTGGAATGCTAACTTCAACGGTTACCAAAACTGTATACTATTTACAACTGATTCCCAATTGCTATTACCATTATTGTCAGCTTTTAGTATTAGTTGCAGCAGCAATAACTGAAAGTAAATGATCAGTCTTTCTTTCAATTTGACAAATCTGTGTTGGTGTGTTTTGCTCCTCACTCAGACCACAGATTCCATTGGCCTGATACAGTTTCAGCAGTATCGATGTTCAGTATCCACCACAGTTGCTGTTTGTACAAAAAGTTTTGGCTATTACTTGGTGCTCTTATTTTTTATTTCAATTCAACTTTACTAAACAATATGAGAATTAGTAAAAGCAAAAAAAGAAAAAAAAATTAAAAAAAAAGAGAGAAAGAAATAAATTTAACAGAACTTTTGTTGAGATTTGATGCCGAAGAAAAGATAACAAATAAAAAATTTTTAAATGTTTAAAATTGCCTAATTTCTTTCTTTCTTTTTTTTTTTTTATAAAATATTAAAAATGTTTGATGAAAAAATTTTAAACTATTAACGGATTTATTTTTTTTATATTTAGCTTCAATTTTTTTTTTTTTTGTTCATTTTGTTTTTGTATAATTACCTCTTTTCTTTTTTGGACTGACTGAATTCACTTTTTCAATACAGTAAAAGAGGACTGTATATCTTTTTAGGAAGCGTCAAATTTTTTAATATTTTATCTCTTTTTACTTTTTTTATTTCAATTTTTTTTTCCTTTATACTTTGGTGCCCAAAAAATTGTTAAGCAGCAAAATT